CTCGGCTGTTCACCACGCTGAGTCCCTTCGGGGAGAAGGGCGGGATATAAATTTAATAAATAAATAAATAAATAAATAAATAAATATCTTCTATGTTTGACAACTGAGCTGATTTATTTCCAACTTAGCTGTAGTATATCCAGGATTACACTGAAGGTTATTTTCCATTAGGAACACTGAAACTCAGTTGAGTATAGGGCCATTTCCATCTCTTACTTCACTCTGACACTTGTTCTCAAACCAGATTCTCTCTCTAAAGAGGTCAGAGAATCAAGTTTTGCAGCAGTTTCAAATTCAACCGAAGGATAGGGGCTTATTGACTTTATAGGCCCCCTTTATTGTGCATGTGGGGATGTGGGGAATCATCAAAGAAGCAAAGGCAACATGAGCTGAAAATGTAGACAAGCTGGGGCATTCTTTGTGTTTCTGTATTGATTCTCTAGGGACGAAGCAATAATGTTGTTTACAGTATTTTGAGATTTGCGAGAGTAATTGGATAATTTCAGATTGTTCTGGATAGATTGGAGTATTGAAATGATGGTGGTATGAGGTATTGTTTCAATAAACATGGCCTTCGTTTTTGCCATCTTTTGAAGAAGTGTCCAGGGCTTCCCATCTTTCAAAAGTGTTTAAAATCCATTTCAGGACTGAATGAAGGAAATACACTTTTTCTGGTTCGTTAATTCACCAAACAAATACTGTAAGTGCATTGAAATGTATTTTATAACCCCCTGATAACCAGCGCAAAATGCCTACAAGCTTCCATTACTTCAGTAGGAGAGACATTTTATTATTTAAGATTAGTCTGTCCACAAAATAATTGGATTGCATTAATATTAAATTGCATCCCACCAATAGTTTTCTCAGAATGTAAAATCTCACTGTATAAATTTTCAAAGCATTTTACTTCCTTTTCTTAAAAAAATATATTAGTTTTTTATTATTCTATTTGAATCTAATCTGTACTTTTCTCTTAATAATGAAATAATTATGAGTTGCAGTTTTTATACTTAAGACCCCATCTTCTGCCACCATTTGCATTCTAACATTTTCTATTTTCATAAAGAAAGATGGCTTTGTGAAATATTTTATCATATTAATTTTACATGCTAATACTTTTATATTTGTTTAGAAATTGCTTATGGCATTCAGGAAAGTCTAATGTTTAGTAGCCTTATCTCCAAGGTCATTTTACCCGGAAGGAGATGGAGGAGCAAAGGGACACATGTGGGAAACATAACTGTGTTATGTTTACATACATATAACTAACCTTATTAAGTCACTAGTCCTACTCAGAGCCAACTTTTGAGGTTTTTATATATTAACAGTGGAATGATATACCTTGAACTATAATGCACACAGGGAGACACATATTTGATCATGATATTTGATAAAAACAAATGATAGGTGCCTTCTGTATAAGCATTAGAAGTTATGTTAAAATGTCTTTGAGAAAGTTGCTGGCTCTCACTGTCTAATGAATGTTTCTCACTTATTTATTTATTTATTTATTTATTCATATTTGTATACCGCCCTACTCCCGAAGGACTCAGGGCGGTGAACAGCCATAATAAATACAAATACATATAGAAGTTAAAAACTATTAAGAAACAGATTAAGTAATTTAGGCTCAAAGATTAAAAAACATCCAAATTTATCTAAAGAGGTTTAAAACCCAATTTAAAAACCAGTTTAAAAGCCAATTAAAAAGGGAGAGTTAGGCCAGACCAGCTTGTTGGAATAGAAATGTTTTCAGGACACGGCGGAATATGCGTAAGTCTTGGATGTTTCGTAACTCCGGGGGAAGCCCGTTCCAGATGGTAGGTGCCCCCACAGAAAAGGCTCTCCCCCTGGGGGCCGTCAGTCGACATTGTTTGGCCGACGGCACCCTGAGGAGTCCCTCTCTATGGGAGCGAACTGGTCGGTGAGAGGCTATTGGTGGCAGGAGGCGGTCTCGTAAGTACCCTGGTCCTGAGCCATGGAGCGCTCTAAAGATAGTAACCAAAACCTTGAAGCGCACCCGGAAGACCACTGGGAGCCAGTGCAGCTCGCGCAGGAGGGGGGTTACATGAGAGCGCCACATTGCTCCCATTACCACCCGCGCGGCCGCATTCTGGACCAGTTGGAGCCTTCGGGTGCTTCTCAAGGGGAGCCCCATGTAGAGAGCATTACAATAATCCAGGCATGAGGTGACAAGGGCGTGAATGACTGTGCGTAACGAGTCCCGATCCAGAAAGGGATGCAACTGGCGAATCAGGCGAACCTGATAAAAAGTCCTCCTGGCTACGGCCGTCATATGCTCTTCAAAAGACAGCTGTGAGTCCAGGAGGATGCCCAAGTTGCGAACCCCATCTATGGGGGCCAACGACTCGCCCCCAATAGTCAGAGATGGCACCAACTGATTATATCGGGACGACGGAAACCACAGCTACTCGGTCTTGGATGGGTTGAGTCTGAGTTTGTTCCTCCCCATCCAGATCCGTACGGCCTCCAGGCACCGGGACATCACCTCGAGGGCATCATTGGGGTGGTCTGGGGTGGAGATGTACAGCTGGGTGTCATCAGCATACTGATGGTACTTCACCCCAAAACCACGGATGATCTCACCCAGCGGCTTCACATAAATGTTGAATAGAAGGGGCGAGAGGACCGATCCTTGTGGCACCCCACATATAAGGGGTCTCGGGGTCAACCTCTGCCCCCCTGTCAACACAGACTGCGACCGGTCAGAGAGAAAGGAGGAGAACCACTGTAGAACAGTGCCCCCCACCCCCAACCCTTCCAACCGGTGCAGCATGATATCATGATCGATGGTATCAAAAGCTGCTGAGAGGTCTAATAGGACAAGGACTGAGGAGCAACCCCTGTCTCGAGCCCTCCAGAGATCATCAACCAATGCGACCAATGCTGTCTCTGTGCTGTACCCGGGCCTGAATCCTGACTGGAACGGATCTAGATAATTCGATTCATCCAGGTACTGAGGGAGTTGTCGTGCAACCACACTCTCAACAACCTTTGCAACAAAGCGAAGATTGGAGACAGGACGATAATTTGCTAATACAGCTGGATCCAGGGAGGGCTTCTTGAGGAGGGGCCTCACCACCGCCTCTTTCAAGACGGTGGGAAAGACACCCTCACTCAAAGAAGCATTTATAATCTCCTGGAGCCAGCCTCGTGTCACCTCCTGGGAGGCCAGTACCAACCAGGATGGACACGGGTCCAATAAACATGTGGTCGCATTTAGTCTGTTCAGTATCCTGTCCACACTTTCGGGAGTCACAGGATCAAACTCTTCCCAAATAATATTCTCAGGACCTGCCCCTGTCATCTCCTCTGGATCAATCCAGTCAGAGTCTAGCTGTTCACGAATCTGAGCAATTTTGTCATACAGATATTGTACAAAATCCTCAGCTCTACCCTCCAAGGGGTCTTCCCGCGTCTCTTGATGGAGCAGAGAGCGGGTCACCCTAAACAGGGTGGCTGGGCGATTATCTGATGATGCAATAAGAGTAGAAAAGTAGTTACTCTTCTCTACTCTTATCGCCACTAGGTAATTCTTAATATGAGATCTTACCAGTGTTCGGTCGGATTCAGAACGACTAGCCCTCCAACTGCTCTCTAGGCGTCTTTTCCGGCGCTTCATCTCCCTCAGCTCCTCAGTATACCAAGGAGCCAGGTGAGACCGGCGCCGGGTCAGAGGCCGCAAAGGCACGACTCGGTCTAAAGCATCAGCCGCCGCCCTATCCCAGGCGGCCACTAAGTCCTCAGCCGAGTCGTGTGCTAGAACCTCAGGAAATGGCCCAAGCTCCATCTGGAATCTCTCAGGATCCATCAGGCGCCTGGGGCGGAAAGAACAAAATAAGAATTGGATTTTTTTTTTTTGAGAACTGTAGAGGTTATTACTAATTATAGGCCATACCAGAGAAAAGGTGAAAGTAATATTACAATATATATTATTTCACAGAAAACATTTTCTCTTCTCAAATTCAGTTTCTTTTCTCTGCTTTCTGAATATTTTTAATGTCACCACCAATACATTATATAAACCCGTTCTCATTTAATAATGTATTCTAAAGTTTGATAAAGTACTACAGCTACACCTTGGTCATTTCTAATATTTAAGATAATAACAAGGGAATATCAAAACAGTGATTGCTTTTCAGCAAACATTTACTTTTTCCCCTCCAAAACAGCCCATTTAGTCTGGAGTATGATAAAATAATGCATTCAAATACAATTAATTATTGAGTATGTTCATTGAGGAATCATAAGCTGGAAAACAGCATGCTTGCTAGTTCATAGGGAGTATATGTGTTACATTTCTTTTGTGATGTTGACAGCATGCAAGCTGTGTATATCTTTCCCTTTCAGGTAATAATGGCAGGCATATTGGGGAAGCAGAATAGTTCTTCTATTTCAACAGTTTCCCCTGACATTTAGTATTGTTGGCTCCAAAGTTTTAAAATGAAATGATGGTGAAGATGATATGAAGTCATATGTGAAAATGTATTATATATTTGGTCCTTATACCTGTTCTTCAAATGTTTTATTCACAAGTTGACAGTCACTTAAGCAATATCTTAAGAGATATCGGAAATACATCAGCCTTAGCTTCATGAGCTTTCAGGTTAACCAATTGCACCTAAAAGATTGCTTACTCTCTATACCAGGGGAGTCAAACTCATGTCGTCACATCAGCATCATGTGACATATCGGGACTCCCCCCCTTCACTAAACCAGGCATGGGTGTGGTCAGCACGTGACGCATCCGGCCCGCAGGCTGGGAGTTTGACAGCCCTGCTCTATACGCTACATAATACCAGCTCCTGCTTCTAAAATGTTACCATGTCTAATCCTATTAATATCCATTTCCTAATTTATTATCTATTATCTGCACTACAGTATCTGGTAAATGATTAAATCAAAGTTTTGTGTTTTTATGTAATGCCAAAATCTCTATTAAGTAATGTTATATTTGTTCATTTATTTATTTGCAACAGTGGAAAAGGGAATTGCAGATCAGGCTTCAGCTAGAAGAGAAACTCCAAGAATTAGAGCGTCAAGCAAAGGAAAAGTTGGAAGAGGAACACTTCAGGCAAATAATGATATGGCGCTTAGAAAAGCTGCACAAGACAACCAGGCCATACGAACTGCCCTTTAAACATGAAGACACAAAAGCAGCAGAAGCAAGCAGCAGCACTCAGCTGTCAAATGTATAACTGTCAGAAACATGGAAACCAGCTGTGTAAAAAGATAACTACACCCTAAAGGCAAATATATGTATTAAAGCTTCTTTCCCCCTCTCACACTCTTTTTTTTTTTTGAGTTAAAGCTCTGCAATATTGAGTAATGAAATGTGGATAAGAAAGTGCTAAAGCCATAATTGCTGCTGTATTCCTGATTGCAGTTGCTTCTCCAACAGTTTTTCATTGTGATGTTCCACATGTGTGTTTATAAGAATAAAAATATATCAGAAATCCTATGAGGGAAGTTAGACCAGCTTGAGAGTGTTTTTGCATATAAACACAGAAGATGAGGAAAAGGTGAGGCACTGCCTCTCATCTTAGCAAGGCAGCTCAGCAAGACACTGTCTTCAGTTTCATAACACTGATACGTAATGATTAATTGAATTGTCTCCCATGAAATATGGGGAATCTCTTTCTGGAATAATAATTTTCTGAAACTAGTGTTTCTGGATTACATCACACCTTTGTTTTTGTTACTGTTTTGGCATAATCAGATATTCTAAACAATGTCAAGAAAAACCACCTGAAAATTGCTTAGTAATATCTTTATCCAATGGTCTCTCTGTTGCCATTAAATTCTTCCTAATCTTATATTCTCCTCTCATTACTTTGTACTTACACAAAGCCTTTCCTTCCTCTCTACATAATTGTGCTACCAATTTTGCCATATTGCTTTCTTTTTATTTGTGGATATTTTATGCATTTATCCAAATTTGTATGATGCTCGTTCAAGCAATTTAAGGCATATTCTCTAATGTATAAACCTGCTGAAAGCAATAGCATGTCTTCTGGTGTTCATTTTTAAAGAACTCTTTTTTATACTTAATTTCTGTACACACATTTGAGGTGATTATCATGTAGCTCTAAAGCTTCTCACAACTTATAGTACTACACTACAAATTACTATAGCCACAGTTTGCCATAGTATTTCTTCTAGGTATTTTAGGCGTAGTACATGCCATTGTGGGATCATATGTAGAACAAAAACATGAAGTGCCAGCACATATATCTGAAAGCACACCAAGTTTTTGTCTCATGTTTCTTCTTGAATGTGTCTATGCAAGAGAATCCTGTCAATCTCCAGTTTCACATTTTCAGAAACATTTAGAGATCTTTACAGAAGAAGAGTGAGCATAATTGAAAAACCTGCTGTACTTCTTGACAAATATGGTATTATCCTTGTTTTCCTCAACTGGATTTGGCAGGTTTATAATGATAAATAGGTATCAAGAGACAATCTTGAGTATAACAAGAATAATAAAAGCCATACAGTTGTTCCATATACATTTCCACTGAACCTTCATTGGTATTCTATCAGTATGGTCTTTACTATTGAAACAAGGTGCCTTGAATGGACAGAGGTAATATTCTTCTGATTTTATCCACAGGAATGATGTTACAATACACCGTATACTTATATATAAGCCAAAAATTTTAGGTGCCAAAGTACACACCCAAAATTGGTTTTGGCTTGTCTGTGGATAGGCTTAGCCACAAATATATACAGTAATGTTTTTAAAAGGACATGTATTTCTTGCATATATTTATGGATAAGCCCATCTGATGACCCTAAGATTTTTTACCATGAAAAATGCATAATTGGTGGATTAATCATGGATAAGCCAATTCTGAAAATTAAAACATAGAAACATTTTGAGGGTTGGCTTGTCCGCATGTAGGCTTATCTGCGTGGTGAATTCATTTACATCTTCTGATTGTCAAATTCCATGACTTAGATATCAATCAATTTTTATTCAGTTATTGAGCAGCAAATAAAACAAAGTCATAATTATTTAGAATGAAAAAAGAAAAAAAATAAAATATCTAGAAGAAATACTATGGCATACTGTGCCAACTATAGAGCAGTACTTAGTTGTGGTCCAAGAAGTAAAATCAGATTGATCTGATAATAAAAACAAGTCAGAATGACCAGAATGTTTAGTGAGGAATGGAGATAATTCCTGGCAAGTATCTGTATAGAGGGGATGATACAAAATTATGTGTTATATTGTTTCAATTATTCCTCTACCAAATGTATCTTTCAGTATTTCCTTTCAATAACTTGGTCAAGGATAGGGCCCTCCTAAGTTATGGAATTCTTACGTGTCTGGCTGTTGGTATACAGACTAGCTTAGAAAGATGTTTCTAGGTAGAACTGGTAAAACTGCTTGCAGCTCTAAATCAATGGCCTGCTGTTCATAACACATCAGGGTGATGATTAGTCACAAAAAGCCACAAAGTTGCAGATTGGCATGCATTGCCTTGTACCAGGAAGGCTGAAAACTATCGTCATAATTAGAGGAGCCAAGCAGCTGAAAAAATGGATTCCTTAAGCCAATAGAAGAAAATGAAAATACAGGAAGAAGTTGCTATTAATCAGTAATCAGCTCCACTGCAAAACACCACATTTAGAACACATCAAGGTACTTGAAAAATTGATTTCAAGAACTTGGATTTCAAAAGAAAAAAAATTATCAGTAGAGGCCCACCTGAGCTCCCAAAAGAAGCTGGGCTTGGATCCTAGCCAAGAAGACTTCAATGGCTGCAAGTACATTCTGAACTTCTTTGGAGAAGTAGAAAGATGCTGGGTTTTGTGCATTTAGATTAATATAAGCAGCATGAAATTTTCGGTTGCCCATAGCATGCAAAGCAGTCCCCAGATATTTAAAGGTCTTGACTTGCTCTATTGAATGATTATTTAGCTGCCAGATATGTGCCTTAGGATGCTTAGCAAAAAGCATGACCTTGGTTTTGGAGTAATTAATTTCTAGTCAGTTTTCTTGACAGTACTCAGCAAGTATATAAAGAGCCTGTCTCAGGCCAAACTGTGTTTGAGAAAGCACAATATCATCTGCCTACAAAAGAACAGATATGTGTCTGTTTTCCACTTTTGGTGGATGAACAAATCCTATTTTCTCAGGGGAAGAGATGAACTAGGTACATAGTTCAACAGAATATCAACCTCTGAGAATTTTAGCTTTTGTACATAATTATTTTTCTATAATCCATTATTTTCTTCCCAAATTTGGTAAGTATGGGGCATGCTGGATGGGGAATTCTGAGAGCCAAGATCCGCAAGTCTTAAAGTTGCTAAGTGTTTATACATGTATATGTATATATCAGTAGTGAAATCCAAATTTTTTTACTACCGGTTCTGTGGGCGTGGCTTGGTGGGTGTAGTGTGGCTTGGTGGGTGTGGTTTGGTGGGCGTAGCAGGGGAAGGATACTGCAGAATCTCCATTCCCACCCCACTCCAGGAGAAGGATATTGCAAAATCTCCATTCCCTCTCCACTCTGGGACCAGCTAGAGGTGGTATTTGCCAGTTCTCCGAACTACTCAAAATTTCCGCTACCAGTTCTCCAGAACCTGTCAGAACCTGCTGGATTTCACCCCTGGTGTATATGTATGATTCACTGCATCATATACAGGCAAGTATTGGTTGTTAAAACTCTTCCAGATGATCTGTGTGATACACTAAATTTGTATAAAAGTTATACATTTTGTGAGTAGCATTTTAAAAATAAGCCTTTTTCTACATCTGTTTATATGGATTTGGAAGCAGATCATAAACTGCTTTTGTTTCATACAATAGCTTTCCAAAAGAATGCTTTTGGGATTAGTTGAGCTAAAGGATGAAGTAGAATTTGTCCTCAAGCAACATAAGAAATTGGGGTTATATTTTGCTTTGCAGTCCAAAACTGCCAATTTTCTTTGGCACATTTAGTAGACAGTTTTGATTCTCTGAACAACCTCAGTTTCAAGCTGCCAAGAAACAATTACATCACCATGCCATTAAAGCATTCACACACACACAAAAAAATGCTTTCTGAAACAATGGAAACAAGCTGAGGTGCCCAACTTTTTATCTTTTTCAACATTTTAATTACTCACTGAACATTGTAAGGGGAATGTGAAGTACAATTTTGCATTTCAACTCAACTGTCTCCCAGTTGCATTCATCCACTATTTTCCAAATAGCTTTTCTGGCAACAGTATTCATAAATTAGTATGTAATCTCTTCAGTGTTGATGTCGATGCATTGCCAGACATATTACTAGAAGAACTACTCAGTATACAGTAAATCATAATTTCACTGAAAAGGATAATTTGGAAAAAATTAAGCTTGGATTTTGGATAAAATATTTCCCAATTTGGATGAAAAAGACAAAATGGCATGTCTTACTATTTTATTTTCTTTGATTAAAAAAAAAACTTTATTTCTAAAAGAAAACTTAAACAAAGGAACAGATCTCAACACTGATGTGTGTTGTCCATTTTCTCCAGCCTAGAATTTTCAGTTCATAAAGAAAAAAAGTGAAAATCTTTTCTATTGTACTGTATTTATGCTACTCCTGATATTTTTAAATGTTCTATTTTTGATAAAAGAAAAATATTTATTCTTATTTATTCTTATTATATGTATCAAGTTTGTGTGTTTATTTCTATTTGTAATTATGAATGGATTTTGGGTATTAAAAGGGGATTGGTTTAAATGAAAGTTTAGAGTGAAGGTTTCAAAAAACCCCAAAGTAAGCATGATGCTGTAAAGTTTGGGGAATTCCTGATTTAGATCATTTGTTTAGCCTAAGACAGGATTGCAAAAAAGGAGGTTAAGAACATTCTTTTTGTGGCCCGCAGAACCCTGCAGAATTGGCAAACCTAAAAAGTAATCTCATTGTATGCATATTTGGGGATTGGACATGGGTTAACTGCTTTAAATACTGCCCAAATTTAAAATTCTGAATTTCCTTATACCAAATATTGAATCTTGGCCCACTAGAAAGTAGAAAGGGCTCACTTGGTCCTTTGACATGCCAAGTAGCAATAGCACTTAGACTTATATATTGCTTTACAATGCTTTACAGCTCTCTCTAAGCGGTTTACAGAGTCAGCATATTTCCCTCAACAATTTGAGTCCTTGTTTTACCCACCTAGGAAGGATGGAAGGCTGAGTCAATTTTGTGAGATTTGAACTGCCAAATTGCAGTCAGACGGCAGTCAGCAGAAGTAGCCTGCAGTACTGCACTCTAACCACTGCGCCACTGAGGCTCATAAAAACCAGATGTAACCTTGAACCAAAGGAAATGGTGGATCCTTACCAAGTGTTAACCGACTTGACACCTTTGTGTTGGGATGCATTATTTTACCACCTAATATAACAAGATATTTTACAGGTATAAAGCATCCCCTCTATTTTGATCAGGATGCTTATCCTGATCGAAAGAGAGGGATGCTTTATACATGTTCAACATCTGATTATGTTAGGTGGTAAAATATGCATACAAGGAACTTACATTTTAACTTTGTTTAATATATAGGAATTTGCTTAATAAAATTGCTATACATTAAAATTGTATGAAGGGACCAGTAGAGTTTAGTTACTTCCCACTTGACAAAAAAAAAAAGTTATTGTACTCTAGAAAAGTAGCTGAGGTAGCTGAGGCTCATTGTAATCTTTCACATGATTAGCTTCACTAGTAATTCTGATGATTATGTTAAAGACATTTTTGATTGATATTAAAGTGATTATTTTCAGCTAAGTTGTGACAGGCTTGTTTAATAAGGAGTTCACCATTATGATTACCATTACAAGTGTTCTATTAAAGTATGGGGGGGGAAAGAAATATTGGTAAACATGTTAGAGTTGAAATATTGGTAGACATGTTAGAGTTGAATCCATATAATTCTATGAGAAATCTGCTGACATGTGTTACTGCCTACCTACTCCTGTAATTTTGAAAGTTAGGACACTTATCAGGTTCTCTTTCTAATATAT